AGAAGTAAATGAAAACGAAAAACCATAAAATTAAGAATATTAAACAAAAAAGCACAAAACTAAAATCGAAAGAATCTGTCAACCGGTTTGGCATCTACATCAGATGTGATTTATTTTACAGAAACTGTTTTTATTTTGGGGAACAACCTGTCCGAGACAAAAAAGTTATAAGTTACATTCAGTTAAGCATAGCTCGCGCGTAGCTTCTTTTACTTCTTTTACTGAAATTCCATATTACTCTGTAGTCTACTGGTCACTCCTACGAATTGTGGAAGAGACGGCTCGAAGAAGGGGAACCTTCTTGAATGTAGAGTTGTTTAAATAAGTACTACAATGAATTATTTTATTTTACATTGTTCTGTATTTCTAATTAAATACCGTTTATGTAATAAAACTTTTATGGGTAGCGACAAACATTTCCAACCGTTGAAATTTAATAACTTTATTTCATTTACCTACCTTAATAATATTGAAGTATGATTTCAAAATAACTGTTTTTTGTACGATCATTTTATGTTTTTGCATTATATAAACCCTCTTTCAATATTTGGCAGTTTGTGCCAATTCGCCTGGGCTACTCTGAGGAACAGATAAACTGATTTCCAAAAGGTTTGTCTGAAGTATGCAACAACACATGTCATGTTTGCAGCTGCCCAAAGTAACGATGCTGGTAGCAATTATAATCAACGCGAGGAGGCGGGACGCGGGGAGCGTGTGACGGGATTGTTAGGCATACCAGAGTATTTATAATTCATTCCTTCTCCTCCCTATTACATGTAGATTCTGTTGTTGTCTCCGCACATTCCTCATATTCTCCCGACCTTACACCTTGGCATTTTTTCTTGTTTCCACGAGTGAAAAGGCAACTAAAAATAAAGCTTCATCAAGATATCCAAGGGGCTGAGACAAGAGCGCTTAAGAGCATTGCAGCTGCAGATTTCTCTTCTTGCTTCCAAGACCTCCAGAAACGTTGGCAATTGTGTACAGACAGCTAATGGGTATACTTTGTTGGGAGCTAGGATCATTAGTTCGTAAATTCAATTTTATAATTTTCACCTTTGTCCTAGAACTTTTATGACAAAGGATGTAGATCGTGATAAATTAACACCATGGCGACGTGGGGTACTTCAGCAAGCATATTTTAAGAGATAATTCTATATTACCGAAATTGAAGCTTTTGCGTTTAAAAGAACCAACAGTTCTTCTTTTGGTATTTATCTCAAGCAACGGATACCTTTATGGTATTTTTAGGTGAGGCGATTTTCGCTTTATGCATATCAAATTTTAAATTATTTTGTATCATATCTGCGCATAAGAGAGGAACACGAGTCGGCTGTTCAAACGTAAGTTTTCCTTTCACATAGTAAATCACTCAAAATGACCTTGTGGGTAGAACACAAGGGCATTGGGGTACGTAGAGAGATTATTTAAAGAATAGACGCCCTTCATACGGTATTTTGTTATACATTCGAAAGTGATTTACCTGTCGTTTTTAAACCTCCTGATACACTGAACTACTTTTGCTGAATCAGTGTGAAATTACAGATACATTTCTAAAGTAAATCGCAGAAACAGGAAGTTCCCCATTTCTCGAATGCATTTAACAGAAAATAAGGTAACCTTTAGTACCAGAAGTGGAGGAACGAATACGAAAGCGAGTCCACTCAAAACCGAATGCTGTGGAAGCAAGATGTTCCAGCTACGCTCATGTCACTGTCACCTTCACTTGGGAACGAGAACTGCCGAGCGGTAAAAGAAAGACAAAAGAGACTGCCTACTGCTTCTGAAACAATCAAGAGAAGCAATCATTGAATACTGTAATGTGTTATTGTGATATGTGAAATGTTAATGTTACTACTGTATAGAAAAATCATAAAGTATTACCTATATTTTAAATGAGTATTGATATAGTTACGTTTCATTTCAATACTTTCATCAGTTGAAGTTATTGCAATTCAGTATTCACGGAAGTGCGTGAAGAAATGGGGCTAATTGATACATGCGATGAAGTAAATAATATTGAACTATGTAAACATCAACAAAAAGTAAAGGGTGCTAAAGTTACGTGACTTATCCTGTATGTCATATTATAATGCTAAGGAAAGGTGATGGTTTTTGATAGTTTATAAAAAACCTTCGACACAAAACCCCGTAAATATATTGATTCTGGATAGGGAAATCCCCAGATTCCTGTATTTATTCTAATAAAAGTCAATTGAATGACCTCTACCGACGATACCACAAAAAGGAGCGTATGAGTTGATACAAAATACTACACAAATGCGGAAAGTAAATAATTTAAATAAAATGATGATACATGCACCACGATCAATATTTTTCGTCTCGCTAAGATACAGGTCCCAAATACATTCCACCGGAGGTCAGCAGCGATCCGGTAGAACCGTGTGCCCGATCTCCATGAAAGACGGCATATCTAAGTGTTTTTTTCACGGAGAAGACTTTTGTGCTGTTAATTTGGTAGTAACTGTACAAAATGGTGCTGCAGCACAAGATTGCGCTTAATTTTAATTCAATTTCCATTCAAAATGATCTCCTCATGGGCTTCATTGTTGCTGGGCGTTGCCGTTTGACGCTGGGCGAAGCCGACACAGAGAGAGAGACAGGGACAGAGAGAGACGGAGAAAGAGTGATAGATGGAGACAGAGCTGCGAGAGAGGCGGAGAGAGAAAGAGAGAGACGGAAGAAAAAAGGAGGAGGGAGGTAGAGAGAGGGACAATGTCTGCCGGGTTCTGCTAGTCAAAAATATTTTTGACAAGAAATATAGAAGTTTGCAGATAATGGAATTTTTGAAAAATCAGGAGCAGACCTTTGAAACGTGCATTCAACGGCCTTAAAACCAGGTTTTCATATCTTTAAAAGTTATGATTTTAATGTTGTAAACAACAAATGAGATCATTTTAGACATTCCCTTACATTTGTGGTAGGTTCCCACGCGCCATAGCATGGGTTGCGAGAATTGCTGAAAGTTCTTGTGTGAAACTATTTTAACTTTTAAACAATGTTGAATACGTAAGATGAATATATATATATATATATATATATATATATATATATATATATATATATATATATATATATAT